GGTCTGGCTATTTAAGAGCATACCCAGTGAGATTCCTGTGGAGAAAGCTAATTTTTCTTTTGTAAGTGGTAATCAGTTGGAGATAGCTTCTCAGCACTGGGACCCTATCAGGCCAAGACCTGTGCAGGCCCTGTGCATGCTGCCACAGTCTCTGTGAGTTCATATGTATATCAGTCCTGTTGTGTCTAGAAGGCCTTTTTCATGAGAATGGTAACTTTTTCAAGACACTGACATCTTTAAAAGTGTGTTTTATTGTAAGCACCAGTGCTTTCTTCCAGAACCAGAGTCACCCAATTATGGTCCGTGGGAATGTCATCTAGCAGACACAGATTGGAGGGGCCACAGCAAGACTGAAGCTGTGACAAGCTTATTGCAAGCAATAAGGCTTTTCATACCCTTGTCAGAAACAGAGTGTAATGGTGGTTGCTGGGATATAATGATGTTTGCAAGCTATACAGGGTATACAGGATTAATGTCTAAGATTAATTGTTCTTCCAAATTTCTATATGCTTAGTTGACTTCTAGGGAATGCAGAGATGCGCAGGCATCCTGAATGCTCCACTGCCTTAGGAAGTGCCCCAGTTTCACTGAAACTGAAAGGTACACAGTGTCCCAGGAGCCATAGATTCTAACCTGAATAACCTATGACCTCTCAAGGCAGATAGACCAAGCCAACTCCATGATTACCTGCATTTTATAACACAGCCCTCAATTTTGAAGTTTTTTATTTCTTCTCAACTGGACTCAGATTAAATGTTTTTGAGGGGAAAAAAATTGGAGAACAGCTATGCTGTGTCCTTTTCAGTGCTTCACATTGGGAGATGAAGGCAGATGTTTCTGTTCCACCAGCAACTCCCAAATATCCAGCAATTGCTTCCCAAATTATTGACTCGGAGCCTTAATATTACTTATAAATGCTTGGCCACTAGCTCAGGCTTATTAATAACTAGCTCTTACACTTAAATTAACTCATAATTCTTATCTTGTTTAGACATGTGGCTTGATACCTTTTCTCAGTATAGCATTCTCATCTTGCTTCCTTTGTATATGGCTGATGACTCCTGACTCCACCCTTCCTCTTCCCAGCATTTTTAGTTTGGTTGCCCTGCCTATACTTCCTGCCTGGCTCCTGGCCAATCAGTATTTTATTAAACTAATTTGAGTGACAAATATTTACAATGTACAAGAGGATTATTCCACAGCAGGAAGACAATGATATCACTTTATCCCATTAGTGATGAAAGTAAGTTAGATGTTTGAGCTAAGTGGCGGTGTCATCAAATTTCTTAGGTGAAACAAAATCTTTTAATTCTCCTTATAATACATTAGTGATCTTTGGGGAGAATTTTTGAAGCTATGAGATATGCCCAGAATACTTTAGTCAACCTGTGGTTGCCAACATGCATAGATGAGGCTTGCCTTGAATTTCTAAATACTTGTAATTGTATATACATATATTTAAATGCACAGAGACAAAATCATACTTATACTTTTGAGTCACTAGTGTAGATTTCATTATCTCCTCCCATATCATGTTATATTGCTCTTTTCCCATATTCAACTTTGTTTTTTCAATGTTCATATTCAAATTTCATATTCAATCCTTGTTTTCTTAAATATCAATATAATTATTTATTATATAAGTCTTATAACTTGTGTAAAAAGAACTTGGGCATTATGATATGATTACTTGGATGCTGTACTGGCTAGTTTTATGTCAACTTGACACAAGCAAGAGCCACTGGAGAGGAGAGAGCTTCAGTTGAGAAAATACACCCATAAGATAAGGCATTTTCTTAATTGGTAACTGATGGGGGAGTGCCCAGCCCACTGTGGGTGATGCCATGACTGAACTATTCATTCTGGGTGTTATAAAAAAAACAGACTGAGCAAGCCATGAGAGCAAGCCAGTAAACAGCAGTCCTCCATAGTCTCTGCATTAGCTCCTGCCTCCAGGTTCCAGCCCTGCTTGAGATCCTGTCCTGACTTCCTTCAGCAATAGACTATGATAAGGACATGTAAGTCAAAAAAAAACCCTTTCCTCCCCAAGTTGCTTTGGTCATTTGGTTGCTTTAGGTGTTTCATCACAGCAATCATAACCCAAACTAAGACAATGCTATATTTGAAAAATCCCATAAATAGTATAGGAAAACTTAGTAATTGTGCATTGATTTAGGGTCAGAAAGGTGCAACATCTTTCTTCGTCCACTGTAAGGTCATAGCTGACACTCCTATAACAAAAGACAAGAAAACAAGTGAAAATCTAACAAATTATTTTACCTAAGATTTATATGAGATGGAAGCCATCATAAATTAAATTCCAAGACCCAGGGAAGTCTTTTCTATACTTGGCTTGTGATGGCTTGGCTTCTGGAAATGTGACTGAAAAAAAAGGTATTATCTGATAGTAACAGAGAGAGGTAAACCCAACAAGCCTTGTCCAAATTTTCCTTGACCTGTGTAGTATTTATTCCTTCCAAGTGTAATGTTAACACTTATCCAATGAAGGCTTTATGCCCTATTTACTGTTAAATAATGTAGGACAGATTATTTTATTTTGCCTTCCTCTTATACAGAAAGCCTGCAATAATACTTCCAGGTTTTATTTCTTCTCTAAGGAAGAGGATTTCTAGTCTCCATGACCCACTTCAGAAAGCAGGATTCTTATTTCTGTAGTTTGATTGGGGGAAGAACGAGAGTAGAGACTGGAAGGTGGAGGGAAGTCAGAGAAATTGTGTAACTAAGGTCTTCCAGTCTCCTTCAGTTTGAAATATTCAGGATGCCAAAACACTATACTTTAGGGTCTTGTTTTCTGATCCCCAACACTGGATACAAACTGTTTCATTCCTAATGTGTTCTACAAAACAGTATTTCCAGTTTATAAAATTAGTTCAGATTTAAATTTATTCTAACATTTGAGGAAAATATATTACTTATTTTTCATCTATTTAGGTCAAAACAATAAATTTAAATGTTCCTACAATTGTTTAGTTAAGAATTTTGTCATTATTTTTTAACACTTTTAAAAAATAAACTAAGTATAATACTGGAGACTCTTATCCCATGTATTGTTTCTGTTATTGTGTCCATTTAATATTAATAATATTTGTTATTATAGTAATTTAAATAAGCATTAATATCTGGGAGACCCTCTGATTTTTCCTTATATATGTACTGTTTAAAGCTGAAAAAAATTCTATTTTAGGAACAGATGTGCTTTAAAATACTGAAGTCACACCTGCAGTTTTAAACTTCACTACTATATTAGAATTCTATCCTTCTATTGTGTTCTTTCATGTATTTAATGTTTTGTGGGGATTTTTTTCCCATTGTGGCAAGATCTGGATGCCTTGCGGACATGCTTTTGGCAACCAGACTTGTTGCAGCTGGTCTTGGGCTCCCATCTGTTGCTTTATATGACAATGCCTCTTATTGTTCAGCGTGTGCTTGTGAATATAATGTTTCCTTCCCCCACAGTAATATAAGAAGCCGTAATACAACCCAATACTATTATTAATAGAACAGGTTTGCATTGCCCTCTGATTTGAAGCTGATGGCTTTGATGCCTTCATTCGTGTGCCACCTTCCTATTGGTGGCACAGACTATGCTGGCTTTCCAGGAAAGCTGAGAATGTTTGGAAACTTCCCAATTTGATCAAAGAAAGACTAAAAAGACAGTTCTTTTCCTTATTATACTCTGATAAAACTTCTCAGTTTCTTAACTGAGGACAATGCAATTAATACTAAGTTTGGTGTGTAAGTTTTGATTAAAGTTAATATTTTTTAAAATAAAATGTGTTTGACCTTAAAGCAGAAATGGTAACAGCTATGCTCTGTATTAAGGCTTGAAAGTAGAAACCGCTGTAATAATACCAAATAATAACTCTGTTGGCTGACAAATAAAGATGAGTGTGCCTCTTGGATGGGTCTATTTTTTATTTTGAGAGTGATAAATTTGTTTGAGAATGATATTCATTTTGATCTCCATTTGCTAGGACTGATTTTTACACTGTAACCCATACATCTGAACACACACATGATAGTCACTGTCTTGAAAGATGGAAAGAGTTATACCAAACTAATTGAGAAGAGGTTACCACGAGAGACACAGAAATTTGATGGTCAGTTGGAATTCTGACTTCACACTCTCTAAAAGATGTAGCCACCCTTACATGTATTTTTATTTTTAAAAAATGGAAGGAGGCATATAATAATATTTCTCCTGAATTTTGTTATGTATTAGTCAGTCTCTGTGCACAAATCAACTTGACGCTTCCTCCCTCACCTGAAGGTATATGCGCAAATACACACTGACTTTGCGAAGGATAGTCTACAATATGCAGATTAAAAGAAATAATCACATCACAAATTTCCTGTTCCCAACATTCTCATAGCTTAAATGCTAGAGCAAAAAGGAGATAAAAAGAAACAAAATTTTACCCATAGAATTTCTATTACTTTTTACCACATTTCAAATATCATCACTATTTTAATTTCCCCAAAACTCTTCGGAGAAGAACACCCAACTGTTTCCTTGAATGTATTTGGCCATCAGGATTGTTTTCTTAGCGTTTATTTTATTTTAATACTTCAGTAAATATTTTAAATTACTGCAAAGATAATTTAAAATACATATTTGACAACAAGACGTGTTGGAAAAATGAGTGGCAACATGTAGTTAAACATACTTACAGGTTGTTTTCTTGGATGGTAGTGAGAGATCATTCTAGAAAATCTACATTTTTCTATCCCCTAGATGTCTCTAAAAGGTATGAGATCTCCAAAAGGCCAACTATTGAGGACTAAAACCCCTCCAATTTGTGTTTTCAGAGTTTTAAAGTGATTTTTAAAGTGATTTTTGAACTTCACAACTCCCTTTTTCCTTATCTTCCAGCACTTTCCTTTTCGAACACCAGGTGGCAGATGGAACCACTTTTTTAGAGCACGCCCCCGACACCGCCCTACCGGAAGCTGTCATATAATGGAAATCTCCATGGCCACGCCTAGAGTTCAGCACCCCAGATGCGGACAGCGACACCGCCCAGTTGAGTCCCATGACTCGCTGCGGAGATTTTCACCTGACAAAGGAACCGGCCAATCTCAATGCCGCGTGATCGACCAATTTACAATGCCAGAGGTAGAGGGGGTGGATAGGAACCCCTTGGTCTGGGACATTCAGACTGGCAAAGGGATCGGCTGACATTAACTGAAACCATATGTTACAATATCTAGTCGTTTGAGTTTTTTTTCTCTCCCCTCTCATTCCCCGCCAGAATATAAATGTCTTATAAATACTGTCTTGCTGCAGGCAGACGTTTCATTACCTAGCCTCCGTGTGTTGGTTTATTCCAACAAGATACGTAAGACTGCAAAGGCGGTGCGAGGCTCTGTGAATTATGGCAGGCAGGGCTTCGTTTTGTAGACGGTAGTCTGTCAGCTTTCTAGAAACCATAATGGGAACCGACCGCTTTGTCTCGTTTTCCAATCAATTAATCTTGAAAACACCAACAACAGCTGTCTTTTTGTTCACTTGAAATTACTGTCTTAGGCAGAGACACCGGCCTGGGGTGTGTTCTGTAACTAACGGCTGGCTTAGGTGTCATTTTTCCGGTTGCCTAGCAACCAATTAGACAAAAAGCTCGTTGGGGAGATTTTGGTTAGCGGTTTAGAATAATGGAAACCTAAGAGTAAATGAACATGGGCTCAAGATAGCATATTACTTGGGGCTAGAATTTAGAATAAGAGTATAATTAAATTTCAGGTAGAGCTAAAAGTCACAGTGACTATTCAGATCGACAAACAGTAAGCCGAGTTTTAGTTGCTATTTATCTGTATTAAACGGATTGCCTCTGTAGCGTTGTTTTCGGCTGCGATCATTCACATCTTTAACCAGCAGAGGGCGACTCGGCCGCAGTTTTCGGTGCTCGAAACACACTCCTCCCTCCCTCCCCCTCCGTCCCCGGCAAATTAATTTAGCACCAACCTCTTCAAAATAGAGCAAGCTTAGGAAGGTGTAGTGGCAGAATTGCAGCGCGCAGGACTTGGCTGAGTGCCCGCCCTTCTCAGCATTGGAAAGCTGGCTGCTCTGTGCTCTTGACAGCATTAAATCTTTGCCTCAGGCTGCAGAGGGGATTGTCTCAGTTGCTGCAGGAACGGGGGAAGGGAAGAAAAGCAGGCTCATCCCCAGAAGCCTTAGATATTTGGGGTCACTAGCTTCAAAGAACTGAAGGGGCCAGCGGTGGGTGGCACAGTGAGACGACCAACATAAACTATGAAGGTTCAAAAAGTGGAAGGAGAATTGTACTTATTAGAGTCAATAACTGTGTTGGAACAATAACCAAAAAGGGCTGTGTGGTTTGGCTTTGTTACTCTTAAGAACAAAAGTGGGGGAAAGGGAGGATGTTAGAGCAAATACTCAAGTCTTGAAAAGAGAAGAAGCAAACGCAAGACCGCTTAAAGAGCAAGACAATGAAAGGGAGGCTGCCAGAATGCAGGGCAGAGCAATAAAGCATGCAGTGTAAAGTTAATGTATTGCTGGGCAGGGACCCTCGTTCTTGGTGGGCATGCCACTTCCTCCAGGGGAGGCATTTTACCTTATAGAATAGGATTTTACAGAATCTCTCTGGGCAGCCAGCCAGAAGTCCCATTAATTGGGCATACACTTTCTCCTGCATGTACTTAGGCTTCGACATTAATCTAACTCGGTTTCAAACTAGTAAAATTAATTTTTTTCTGGAAGCCACTAAACGAAATTTTATGTATTGAATTTTTCCCTCCCTCGGTCATTAAATTTCTGTAAAGCTTGTGTTTAAGGAATGTTTAATTAATAAATTCAATTCATAAAATAATACGATGCCCTTTTTTTTCTGGATAAAGAACCCAGTGCACTGTATATCAAGGTAAGAGATATTGTCACTGAGCTAAATCCCTAGCCCCATACTTTCCTTAAATTGGTATTAGGACAGGTATCTTAATGGTACAGATCAGCCCCTTTAAGAAAACATGGTTTGACTCAAAGTTCCATGGTTAATTTAAAGATAAGTTGCACATTTATAGGGTTTTATACCACACCTGTGTTTCTGTGATATTCCCTCCACAAAGAAGCATTCATATTTTCTTTGAATATACCAAACTTGGTTCATGTCACAACAAAACAAATGAATATTTGAAATTGCCTAATATGATCTAATATAATAGAATTCAGAACTTTGGGAAATGGGAGGGTGAGATAACATTTTTCTGTGTAGCTCTGGCTGTCCTAGAACTTACTCTGTAGACTAACAGAGAACTCTGCAGAACTCAAACTCACAGAGATCCACCTGGCTCTATCTCCTAAGTGCTGGGATTAAAGATGTGCACCACCACAGCCCTGCCAGAACTACTTTTTTTTAAATCCAAGTACTAGGTCATTGTACAAGCACTTAATGAATGGGACTACCCAAATAGCCAATGACCAAAGATTTTCAGCTTCATTAATCATCTAAGAAATATTAAAGGTTGTAATGAAATACCTTTTACTCTCTTAAGAAACTAGATAAACAAGCAAAAAGCTGGCATTTTTCAAGTATTGAAAATGATCCGGGTAGTGGTGGTGCACATCTTTAATCCCAGTACTCCCGAGGCAGAGGCAGACAGATCTGTGAGTTCGAGGCCAGCCTGGTCTACAGAGTGAGTTCCTGGAAAGCCAAGACTACACAAGAAACCTTGTCTCAGAGAGAGAGAGAAGAAAGAGAGAGACAGAGACAGAGAGAGAGAGAGAGAGAGAGAGAGAGAGAGAGAGAGAGAGAGAGAAGAAGAAGAAGAAGAAGAAGAAGAAGAAGAAGAAGAAGAAGAAGAAGAAGAAGAAGAAGAAGGGGGGGCAACTACCACATATCACTGGAATATAAATTGTTACAATCACTCTGAAAAATTGGCAACATTAAGATTTGAAGTGTATACCTAACAGAAATGTCTACATGTGTACAAAAAGACACATACAAAAATGTTCATCACATAGATCTGGAAACAACCAATGTACTTAACAGAATGGATAAATATATTGCCGTATAAGAAATACACACAGCAATAGTGATTTTTAAATTGCTACTACATGTATTTTATGAATAACTCTCACAAATATTATATTTGACAAGAAAAATCAGAAACACAATTCTATGAATATAAAGGTCACTAATTTGTGAAAAGCTGTTAGGGTGATAAAAAGTGAGGGCAGTAGTTGCTTTAGTGGAGATAAACACTGGAAGGGCATGGGGGACTTCAGAAATTTGGTAAAATTCTAGTTCACCTGGGTGGTAGCAATCAGAGTAGATTTACTTGATAAAAATGATTGGTCCATGTTTAAAGTACGCCTTTAAAAGTCATAAGACAGATGATATGAAACTCCAACTTGAAACCACTGAATGTCTGCACAGTGCCCTGACAGCAAAATCTGAGTTCCTTGGTGTCTAGACGGCCCTATGTAGATTTCTCCTGTCTGAATTCCCAATCTTTTGTTAACTACTTTCACCTCAGTCACCACACTTCAATGACTATGACTGCCTATCAATTCCTAACTTCCCAAATCTGTGCTCAGCCTTGACTTTGCTGTTTTTCCACCTGGATATGCTATCAGCAGCTTTTTGCAAGGCATATTCCTTCAAGTCCTTCAGTTCAGATTAATGGAGCATCTTTAGAGAAGTGCTTCTTGACTTTGGAATTTAAAGTCCTTATTATTTTTCCATTTGCTGCTTTAAACAAACCTATCACTCTTAGTTATTAAGGTCAAAAGCCCAAAATGGGTCTCACTGAACTAATATCAGGTATTAGCAGGAATGCTTTCCCTCTGGACATTTTAAGGGATAATCGGGTTCTTCACCTTTTCAATTCTCAGGGACAGCTGTGTTTCTAGATTTGAAGTCCCTTTTTCCTCATTCAACCACATCAATATTCCATACTCAGACTGCCTCTTACTCTGGCATTCTTTCTACCGCCTCCCTCCCCACTCTCAAGAACTTTGGAGATAAAGCCTGGTCCCACCCAGATGATACAGAACAACCTCCCATCCTCGAGGTTGGCTGAGAAGCAGTATTAACTCCTCCTTATAATGTGTAATGTATTTGCAGAATCTGGGAAGTAAGACGAATACATCCCACAGGAAGTAGTATTCTGCCCGCTGCAAGCCTACTCCACTCTTTGTGAATGCAGCATGATGCTTATTTGCTAAAGACCACTAGTCACAATTTCAAATCATTTAAATATTTGTTTACTTACTCACTGCCAGACTACTCTGATATACTGTAAATTCTATGGGACCACAGACCTTAACTGTCCAATATTTTTTTCCTTCAGTGCTTACTACAATGTCTGGCACATACTTGTGGAAAGAGCAAACAAATTGTGATCTTTTCCTGTGCTTTGATGCCTTCTCTCATTTGGGTTTTTTAATCTTTCCTGCTCAGAAGCAGTGTCTTGGGTGGAGAGGAAGTCATGGAGGAATCAATATCCTCATCTTTTCCTTTATACTTTAAAAAGATGATTCATAAATTAATGCCTCATAGAAAATAGCTCATCACAGTAAAATCAGACACTAACTTAGAAATCATGATTAATTGATTCATCAAATACTTATTGAGCTCTCCTCTAAGTTCTGAGTACACAGAAGAAATTACAAAATTCATTGCATTTAGGAAGTCTATAAACACATGTGCATAATATTATGTAAGGTAGAGACAATTGCAATAAAGTAGAGGGAAATGATAAGAAACCAATCAGACATTTTAAAACAGAGATTTTTATCTATGTTATATAAATATGAGTCTGGGAGTTGGGGAAATGGCTCAGTAGATAAAATGCTTGCTGCATGAGTATAAGGACCTGAATTTAGAATTGCCAGCACCCATGTAAAAAGCAGGCACAGTGGCATGAAGCTGTAATCCCGGTGCTGGGAAGGAGTATAGGCCGGCTTGACACACACTAGAGTCGCCTGAGAAGAGGGAATCTCAGTGGAGGAACCTACGTTAGACTGGTCTGGAGGCATGCATGTAGGACATTTTCTTGGTTAGTGATTAATGTGAAAGTGCCCAGCCCAACTGTGAATGGTGCCAACCCTGAGCAGGTGATCGTGTTGTATAAGAAAGCAGGCTAAGCTGGGCGCTGGTG